TTTCTTCATTGATCTATATGATATTTAGAAGTGTGTTGTTTATTCTCCAAGCATTTTAGGGCTTTCCCTTTATCTTTCTTTTGTACATTTGTAGTTTAATTCCATTGGTGTCTGAGAGTATACTTGGTATGATTTATATCCTTTACATAATGTACATATGTGTTTCCTGGCCCAGAACATGGTCTATCTTGATGAATATTCCAAGGGAGCCTCACAATAACATGTATTCTTTGGTTGTTGGATGAAATATTCTATGAATGTCAATTAGACCCAGCTAATAGATGGTGTGGAGTTCAACTGTGTCCTCACTGATTTTCTACAAGCTGGGTCTTTTCATTATCAATAGATGGCTGTTGAAATCTCCATCTATAATATTGGATTCTACTGGATTCTTCTATTTCTCTTTGCAGTTCTATCAGATTCTGCCTCCTACATCTTGTCAGTCTTGTGCTGTGCATACACATAAGGAATTTTGATGTCTTTCTGGAAAATTAACCTTCTTGTTGTTATATATTGCTCCTTTTCATCTCTGATAAATCTCCCAACTCTAAAGTCTGCTTTGTCTGAAATTAACATAGCTATTCCACCTGTCTAGAATGGTTATTCCAGACATCATTATTTGTGTGCAGGGTTAGGGTTAACATAGTGTATCTTTCTCAATCCATCTGCTTTTAATCAATGTTTGCCTAAATCGATTGGATTTTTTTCTGAAACACCATGTAGTTGAGTTTTGTTTGTTTATTTGCTCTGAGAATATTCATCTTTTAAAAGGTGATTTATATCATTGTTGTACTATAATTGTTGATACAGTTAATTGTCTACCATGATTTTTACTGTCTTGTTTGTTTCCTTTGATCTTTGTTTTTGATTTTGGGTTTCTATTTTGGCCTTTGTGTGTGTATGTGTGTGTGTGGTGCTGCTGGGGATTGAACCCAGGTCCTTGTGCATTTGAGGCAAGCACTTTACCAACCGAGCTATACCCCCAGCTACACATCTTCATGAATAGTAGAAGTAACTTAAAACAGTGTGGTCTCAATTCTTCCCTCTATTCCTTATGACATTGCTGTCATTCGTTGCAGTTACCAACAAGTTATGATTACTAGATTAAGTAATTACTAACTAATTAATTAATTAATAATTGCTATTATTACTTCGAACAAAACTTTATCTGTTAGATCAAGCAAGAATAAATAAAATAGCCAGGCATGGTGGTGCTCACCTGTAATCCCAGTGACTCAGGAGGCCGAGGCAGGAGGGTCCCAAGCCTGAGACCAGCCTGAACAACTTATCAAGCCCCACAGAGATTCAGCAAGACCCTATCTCAAAAGAAAACCATAGAAAGGGCTTGGGATGTAGCTCAGTGGTAAAGCACCCCTGGGTTCAATGCCCAGTCCACAGTCCCCTCACCCAAAAAACAAAGAATAAATAAACTAAAGAACTTTATTTGACTTTCACTTATTCCTTCTGTGCTCTTATTTTTCCTTTATAGATCTGAGTTTTTGACGTACGCCATTTTCCTTCTTCTGAAGAAATTTTCAAAAACATTTCTTGCAAGGCAGGTCTACGGGCCACAAATTCTTTCTCTCTCTCTTTTTTTTCCCCCTAAGAGAGTCTTTATTTCTTGTTCACATCTGTTTCATCTTTTTCCTGGATACTGAATTCTAAGTTGGTAGATTTTTTTTTCTTCTAGACCTTCATCCTTTCACTTAGCCTTCCTCCTGCTTGCATACTTTCCTCAATAGAAGCACAATGTTCTTCTTTTCTTTGCTTTATGCAGCAAGATGGTTTTTCTCTCAATTTCCATCCCCCGCCCACCCCCCAGAGGGGAGAGGGGAATCTAGCTCAGGGCCTTGCACACCTCTGTCTTCTTTCATGATTTTCTTTTTCTTTGTTTATGTGCAGCTTGAGGAATGTCCACGTGTGGTTTATGGGGCGGGTTTCCCCTCTTGTTTGCTATTTGCTCAATTTCATAGATCTGCAAGCTGCTGTTGATCATTGATTTTGCTTCTGTTACGCCCCCAACGCACACACCATTTTTTCCTTCCGAGGTATCCATTACATGTTACTCCTTCTAAAATTGTTCCACTGTTCTTTTTTTAATATCTATTTTTTAGTTATAGGTGGACACAATATCTTTATTATATTTTATATGCTGCTGAGGATCAAACCCAGTGCCTCATGCATGCTAGTCGAGCACTTTACCTCTGAGCCACAACCACAGCCCTTCCACTGTTCTTTTTTTTTAAATTTTGTTTTAATTAGTTTACATGACAGCAGAATGCACCATGATGTATCATACATAAATGGAGTATGATTTCTCATTTTTCTGATTGTACATGATGTAGAATTCCACTGGTTGTATAGTCATACATGTACATAGGATAATGATGTCTGATTCATTCTACTATGTTCCTACCCCCATATACTTCCCTTCCCTTCACTCCCCTCTACCTAATCTAAAGTAACTCTATTCTTCCCACGCCTCCCTCACCACCACCCTTATTGTGAGTTAGCATCCACAGATCAGAGAAAACATTTAACCTTTGGATTTTGGGGATTGGCTTATTTCACTTAGCACGATAGTCTCCATTTGCCTGAAAATGTCATAATTTCATTCTTCTTTAAGACTGAGTAATATTCCATTTTGTATGTATACCACATTTTCTTTATCCATTCATCTGTTGCAGGGCACCAAGTTTGGCTCCACAGTTTAGCAATTGTGAGTTGATTTTGCTTTAAACATGGATGTGGCCTCGTCACTGTAATATGTAAGGATTTGAAGTCCTTTGGGTATAAACCTAAAAATGGGATACCTGGGTCAAATGGTGGTTCCATTTGAGCATGTGAGCAGCAGGCCACTTACTCATAGGCACAGCCCTGGGTGTGAGGCCATGTGTTGCAGTCCTGTGGTTGCTCCACTGCCTGAACCTCGATTTCTTGATACAAGGACCGTTAGCAGAAACTGCATTGGTGGCTGCCTGTTGTCTGCTCAGCTACTGCCTGAGTATATGTACATGGTAACTGCGCAATAAAATCAGACTTGCTTCCTGCTTGGTCTCCGGAAGTCTTGATTAGCGACTCTGCAGCCACGCTGTGCTATCCTCTACCCTGTTCCGTGGACCTCCTAGCTGGATGAGAGAGAGCCCATGTGTCTTTACTATTTTTACATAATTTTGTTGAAAAAATGAACTGGGTAAAGGACCTGAGCTAAGGAGAACTTTTGCACGAGGTTTTATGTTCATCTGGCTTGGAAGGTATGTTTATTGTTTGCGTAGCTGTAGGTGTTGAGGGTAAAATTTCTACTGTGGTCTATGTCATCTCTCCTGTTGTCTTTGTAAATAAAGTCTGAGAAATTCTCCTGAGTAATTTTTAAATATATTTTTAGTTGTCAATGGACCTTTATTTTATTCATTTATATGTGGTGCTGAGAATTGAACCCAGGGCCTCACACCTGCTAGGCAAGCACTCTACCACTGAGCTGCAACCCTAGCCCCTCCTGATTTTCTTCCTTTCTCTTCTCCTCTAGTTCCTTTTTCCTGATTATTCTAAGCATGTTTTTTCCACTGAAGCAAAATACAAGCTCATAGGGATATGAACATCTTAATATACCCAGTCAATATTACATTTTATTATAACCGTTTTTACTGTTTCCCTACAGAAGTGCAAGTTTCTTGGAGCAGGTTCTACTTATTTTAACCTTTGTAGACATTATGATTGGTACATAATCAATGATCAATAAATTCTTAAAAAAAGTATTGTAAGCAAGGGACTAATACACACTGTCTGCTCTTTTCCTGGTCAAATATGTCTTCCTTCGATGTAAAGTCTCTACCTTCCAGTGGTTCTTAATGCTGATTCACAAGAGAATCACTTGGAAGGAGTTTTTAAAATATATGTTGGGCAAAAGCAAGGTGCTAAGCAACTCAGTGTTGTGTTGGGTTCTGCAAAACAAACAAACAAACAAACAAACAAACAAAAAAACCCAGTCAACATGAAGGCAAAATGGACTATTTCAACATATATATGATGTAAAACAGGAACCAAATGGGCATTTTAGAACCCCCAAATCCACTATCTGATATGAAAAATTCACTTGGATGATCATAAGAGAAATTAAACATAGCAGAAGAAAGTGAGCTGGAAGAGAGTTTTGTTTTGTTGTTGTTTTTTTTTTAAATCGAAAGGAGAAAAGAACTGAAAGAAATGAAGGAAAAGTATCTCAGTGACCTACAGAAAAATATGCGTTCCATGTGGAAATGGACACCAAGAAGTGGCTAAAAAAGGGGAAGGGTAAAAAAAAAAAAAGTGGTATTTTTTCAAATGCAGTGAAAAACATCAACTCACAGATTTGAGAAACTTGGAAACTCCCTCTCCCCCAAGAAAGATAAACAACAACAACAAAAAAATGCTACCCAGGAACATTACAGTCCATGGTAAAGAGGAAGTTCGGTACATAAAACATTTTTTTGTGAATTCATAGGAACGATGATATAAAATGTAGATGATATAAAATAGTGGAGAAAATGATAAATCTAGATTCAATATCATGAATTTAGACAAAAAAATATATTCTTAAAGTATTGCCAGCTGTGCATAGTGCACATGCCTGTATTCCCAGCAACTTGGGAGGCTGGGGCAGCAGGATCTAAATTTCCAGGGTAGCCTGGGCAACTTAGAGAGACCCTGTCTCAAAATAAAACATATGTTTTTTTAAAAATATATATATATTTTATTTTTTAGTTGTGATTGGACACAATACCTTTTGCTTATTTATTTTTATATGGTGCTGAGGATCGAACCCAGGGCCCCGCATGTGCTAGGCAAGCACTCTACTGCTGAGCCACAACCCCAGCCCTCAAAATAAAACATATGTTTTTTAAAAAGTTTTTTAAAAAAGGACTGGGGATATGCTCAGTGGTAGACTTCACAGGCTGACTCCTCGGCTACCTGGGCGGAGCTTGGGGGCGTGGAAAGGCGACCCGAGACTCGAGCGACGTGCCTTCCAGCAGTTGCCAGAAGCGCCTAGAAGAGCGCGGACGCGGGACCGAAGGCAGGTGGCAGCGCGCGCAGCCAGACGGGGCGACATTTCCATGTGGACGAAAATCGCGGAAGATTCTGCAGCCAACTCTCAATCGTAGCCCCGGGACGGAGCCCAAGAGTCCCTCTAATACCATGGTCCACGGGGGGAGCGCGCTAGGCGGCCCCGCGGCCCCGCGAGTGCGCGCCCCCGGCCCGAGCCGAGCCCTGGAAGCCACACCTGGACTCCGGGTCCGGACCTGGACTCTCGTCTGTGTGCTGTGGGTGAGTTCCGGCTTCGGTTCTCGGAGGACACGTGCGCCCGGGCGGCAGGAGGCCTGGGGGTCGTGGCGGGGGTGCCAGGCCCCGGTCGCTGGTCTCCTGGCATGCCCGGGCAGGACGCGCCCGGGGCGGCGGCGGGAAAGGGAAAGTCCCGGTCCCGGGCCCACAGGACCCATCCGGGACGGGGGGGGAGGAGAGATGGTGCCCCGCGCGCCTCTCCACGGGTTGGGGACACTTTGGGGGCATTTCAAAACGGACACGGCGAGTTCCACCTGGAAGGCAGCCAGGGACTTTTTTGCTTTTCCTTCACGCACGTCCGTCCTCGTGCGCTACCTTCCCTCCGCGCCTGGCCTGCCTCTCCTCACTGGGGGAGGACGCCCGAAGGCAGGATACCAAGTTACAAAGTTACCACTGGAACCTATTGGGGGACCGTGATTTCCTGTGAAGGAGGGAAAGGCGGGCGGGGACGGGGTGACGCGGTTGAGGGTGGGGCGCCATGCTTTCTAGGTTGCTGGAAGCTCCCGCTAATTACACTTTTCCAGGTTACTTGTATGTTAGGGGGGAAAAGCTCAAAACTTAAACATACAAACAAAAAAAACCCCACTTGTATTATTCCGTTTTCCATTGCTTCATCAAATACTACTTAGGACTGGTTCATAGAAGGAAGTTAGTTTATTTAGCTCACTCTTGTGGAAGTTCAAGCACCAGCCCCAGCTCCCGTGAAGGTCCTACTGATTGGTGGCTTTAGGGCGGGAGAGGGAGAGATGACCGGACAAGACAGGACCATGTGTTTATATCAACCACCTCCTGGGCACTAAGAACTGCCTTGATTCTTTCTTGGCCAAGGCCGGTAATGACCCAATATCATCCCACTAGGCCCCGCCTCTGGCCCCACCCACTCCTACCACCACCATCCCGGGGACATCCTCAACCAAGTCTGAATCATAGCAATGACCTTGCAAGTATCATGGCGTTTTTAATGTTTTCATGTAACAAATTCACTCCTAATCCAGGAAATAGCATTTTTTCACCATCTCAGAATAATTAGGAGATTCATTTTTTGAATATCAGTTTATATTAGGTGGGATCCACATTTTTTGGTTTTTGTTTTTTAAGCAACACTTATTGTGGGATCCACATTTAATGCTTCTCCATGACTGGCTTATTTTTGTCAGGTCAGTGTGTATCCAGCTGAATGTAGACATCAGGGCCAAAAGTCTGAATTTGATGGTTTTGAAAATGTGAGACAGGCCTTCTGGCATCCCAAACGGCCCTCTCATCCTTCCATAAGTCAGTCTTTCTTCCATCAGGTAGAGGTTTTTACAATTATGAAGCTAATACTAAATTACAAGAGACGTTTTATATGCGTACCTGCACCTTTTTTTTTTAACAACAGGTCAGTATTTTACACGTGAACCATGGATTATCTTAATCTTCTATCCTATAGGTAGCTGTTCAGATTACATCTTGGTTTTGTTTTTGCCAAATCGAGCAGTATTGTAGTATATGCCCTGGTATGTACCACAGGTACATATATCCGTGTGCGCCATCTACTTGGGTAACTCCTTAGGAATGGAATTCTTGGGCCAACTGGTTAACAACTTTAGAATTTGTTCAGATATTGCTATATTCCCCTTCAAAAGAAGGTTCTACCAATTTGTTACTCGCACCTAGAATATACAAACTTTCCTCTGTCCCTACACCCTTGCCACAATGGATATAGAAACGTTAACTCTTTGCTAATCTAAAAGGTAAAAAGTGATACGCCACAGCATTGTGTTTTTGATGCTGCAGCGCTATTAGAGATTTTCAAAGCTTGAGGGTATTTTCCAGAGTAGTAGATGAGCAGGAGACCCCAGATGAGGCAGCAAGAGAGCCCAGAATTCCAGCCCTGTACTTGAAACCTTGGTGCCCGAGGCTAGTTTCTGCCTATACATGGACACAGACCTTGCCCTGAACTGCCAGAGGGATTTCATCAGAGGAGGTCTGGCACAGAGCTTGGTTCTGAGGTTGGGTCCTCACCCTGTAAATGCTGGGATTGTCCATTGCCTGTGCCTGGACCTTCCACATAGGTCCCTCTTGATCAAAGTAGGAATTGGGAAGTTTTGGCATCTCACAGGCCCACACACTGGGTAGTGTTAGAGGCCTGCTGTCAAAGGCCAGAGATGGTGGGCTGCTCTTCCTCTGCAGGCCTGTGACCTGAGTGTGGTCCCAACTTTCTCTTGTGTCAGATGGTAAGAACACAAGTCCACTACAGCCGTCTGTGAGCTGCAGTGACCTGGGTCACTGCATGAAATTGTGTGGGAGGACAGGTCACTTCCTCAGAGATAGTGTCGGCACTTTGGAGCTGAATCGCCACAGGGCACATATTGTCCACCTGTCAGTGGCTGTACCTGCTCGCACTGATACATGGATGTTGGCTCTGTGAGCCAAGGCAGGAATTTCTGAACAACAGTGTGGACAATTTATGGGGACCTCCTATCTGTGGTTCCTCAGCAGGGGCTGCAGGGCTGGCAAGATCCCCTCCCTGTGCTGCAGCCTGGAGCTGGTGCTTGGGTAGCTGAGACCATCTCTGTACTCAGTGGTGTGTCCTGGGTGGTGGTGGAGGTCCAGTTCTCCCAGCAAGTAGGTGGTGAGCTCCATTCTTGGGACAGCCTGGACATGGGGGCAGGGTGGGGATCAGACTCTTTGGGAGTCATTTTTCATGGAAGCCCATTGAAAAATATGATTCTGGAAACCTAAATGACTAATAATGCCTAAGAGGCCCAACCCCCCTCATCTGGCCTCCTCTAAAGAGGCTTGGATGCCTGGTGAGACCTGCTGTGGTATTCGTGGGCTGAGGTTGTGGCTGAATTAAAATCAACATTGTGTGTGATAAGACTACAAACCCGAATATGTAAACACGCACTTGCCGTGTGCCAGGCTTTGTCCTCAGCACCTTTACATATGTTAACCCAGATTGCGTGGGAACCCTTGCCATCCTCATTTCACCTGAGCAGCTTGAAACAGCAAAGTTCATTTGGTGAGGAGAGAGCAGGGGTGGCTGAGCCTCAGCTGCAGCCCCACCATTGATTGAGTCCCCAGGGGTGTATTCGGTGGCCATCTAGGAAGCCCACACTCAGCTGCACAGGGTCCCTCTTATTTCAAGAAAGAGAAACATGTCTAGAGGAGGGAAGGGGCTTCTCCAGAACCATGGAGCTATTCCATGTCTGGCTCTGGGCTATGAGCCAGATGGCTCAGTACGTCATCCAGGGGTGTTATTCTACAAAATACCAAACAAGCCAACAAACTTAGGAAGCAGACTTTGGACCACAGGAAGACCTTGACAAGAAGTCTTAAGCTGAAGTTAGAACTGTTCAGCTTCAGACAAACAGGCTGCTTTGGAGGGAAAGTGGCGTTCCTGAGTCAGGAAATGGAGCCTAAGGTGACTCATCACCACAAGCAAGCTCCCCACCCTGCCCGACTCACACCCTGACATAAACACGCAAGACCCACGTCTATGGACTGACTCATCCACCCCCTAATCAAATCTCTGGCCACACTTTCAGTGTGTCACCATCAGAGGCAGCCACAAACCAAAGAGCTGCCACAGTACTACTTTTCACTCCTCTCCTCCATGACTTTGATTTTTCTTTGTATGACCCAGTGTCCCTCAGATGGTATTGTCACTTACTGGAGCAGTCCTGGTAGGCACCTTTCGCCTTAGTTGACTTTGAGGTTATTAGGTCTGTGTCTCAGTGCCCTGTGAACCAGAGGTGTCCTGAGAAAAGGAGGTGCCAGTTCGTGTCATTGGCACTCCAGTTTCTTGCACGGTGTGGTCCCCAGGCTCTCTCTCAATGAATGAATAACCTGGACCCCAGGGTGCCTGCTCTAAGGCAGCTGAGTCGAATGCTGAGAATCGGCCCAGGTTCCAGGGCCCCAGGAGGCAGTTGTCAAGTTTTTGCTTGATATTACCAGAGTTGGGGGGCGGGGAGCACCATTTGTGGTGTTAAGAACATCAACCAGGCACAGTAGCACATGCCTATAATCCCAGTGGCTTGGGAGGCTGATGCAGAAGGACCGCGAGTTCAAAGCCAGCCTCAGCCATGTAGCCAGACTCTGTCTCAAAATTAAAAATAAAAAGGGCTGGGGATGTTGCTCCGCGGTTAAGCACACAGGGATTCAATAATCCCAAGTACAAGAAAAAAAAGAACAATTCATTGAAGTCATGATAATAGTAAATTCACGTGTGCTAATAATAGATCGTAAACATATGTGAAGGGAAAAGGTCTGCATGATTAAAGGCAGATCATATCAGCCCTTTCTCAGGAATTGATAGAATTAGCAGATGAAAATGTGGTAAATAACAACAAATCTGAACATTATCAACCACTTGATATATAGCATACAAAATATCCACTGAAAATTCATTCTTTTTTTCTTGTTTTTATTGGTACATTAAAATTACACATAGTTGTAGGATTCATTGGGACATACCTGTATATCTTTTTTGAACTAATAAGGAAGTAATAAGAGGAAATTAATGGGGGCTGGATCTCAGTGGCAGAGTGCTCACCTAGCACATGAGAGGCCCTGGGTTTGATCCTCAGCCCCACATAAAAATAAATAAATAAAATAAATGTATTGTGTCCATCTACAACTAAATAAATAAATACACATATATACATTTGTATATAGTAAATATATACATACATATATGTGTATGTATATATATAGTATATGTGTGTGTGTGTGTATATATATATATATATATATATGTATATATAAAATAAGTTAATGGAATGAAACATGAACAATAAAAGGTAGTGACAAACCAGAAGCTGGATCCCTGGGATGATGAAAAAACTAATAAAATGGGCTGGGGATGTGGCTCAAGTGGTAGGGCACTCACCTGGCATGTGTGGGGTGCTGGGTTCAATCCTCAACACCACATAAAAATTTTTTAAAAATAAAGATATTAAAAAATAATTATATATTTAAAAAATTAATAAAATAAAATTAATACAATTCAGAATTAAAAAACAAGCCAGGCATGTTAGTGTCAAGAGCCTGTAATGCCAGCTGCTCGGGAAGTTAACTCACAAGGATCACTTGAGCCCAGGAGTTTGAGACCACCTGGGTAACATAGCAAGACCCTGTCTGAAGGAAAGAAAGAGAAACAACAGCAAGGAGCATAAAATACTAATGTTAAGAATTAACGATGGGATATTACAAACTCTGCCACCATTAAAAGGAAAAAACAGAGAGCTTCTGAATTACTGACAATAAATCCAACAAGTTGGATGATATGGAAAAATTCCTAGAAAAATACACTTCACAAAATAGCCGCAAATGTAAAGATAATCTGAATTATCTTATACCTATTTATGAATTTAAATTAATTATTTAAAAGCCGAAAATAATGAAAATTGGGGGCTGATAATCACTTCACTGGTAATTCTGTAAATATTATGGAAAAAATATCACTAATCTTAAACAAATTGAGAAAAGATAGAAGGAGGCAATTTATCATCATTGTTATATAACATCATCATTTTTATATAATGCCCATATATATTTGTAATATCTGACAAGGATATTACAAAAAAAAACAAAACTCTAATCAACATCCATTATAAATATGGATGTAAAAGACAGACAATTGAGTCTAGAAACTTTTAAAGAAAATAATGTACTCTGAACAAATGGGGTTTATTTCAAGAATATGGTTTGATTACCATTTGAAAATCAATATTAGTCATGATATTAACAATGTGAAGGAAAAAACCCTGTATGAACATGTAAATTGTTTGATAAAGCTTAACACACATTCATAATAAAAAATTCTCATTTTATTTAGAACAAAGGGGAACTTCCTCAATTTGATGTATTGCACATATAATAAGCTACATCTTTTTGTGAAAACTAAACACAAAGCTAGCAAAGGTAGTATATAATAAAAATTAGAGCAGAGATTTTTTTTTTACCTGCAAATGCCATGATTTTATTCTCTTTCATTGCTGAGTAATATTCCATTGTGTATATACACCACATTTTCTTTATCCATTCATCCACTGAAGGGCATCTAGGTTAGTCCAACAGTTTAGCTACTGTGAATTGTGCTGCAATAAACATTAATGTGGCTGAGTCCCTGTAGTATGCTGGGGTTTTTAAAATTTTTATTGTTCTTGTTCAAAACATTACATAGTTCTTGACATATCATATTTCACTCTTTGATTCAAGTGGGTTATGAACTCCCATTTTTACCCCGTATACAGATTGCAGAATCACATCGGTTACACATCCACTGAGTTACATATTGCCATCCTAGTGTCTGTTGTATTCTGCTGCCTATCCTCTACTATCCCCCCTCCCCTCCCCTCCCCTCCATCTTCTCTCTCTACCCCATCTACTGTAATTCATTT